TATGCTTGAGCCAAAGACTTAAAATATGAAACTTCTGAAGAAAACACCAGGAAACATATTTCTCACCTTAGAGTAGGCAATGCATGCTTAGGATGCAAATAGCACTAACCATAAAAGAAAATTTAATAGTGACTCATGTCTGTAATCCCAGCACTTTGGGAGGTCGAGGTGGTTGGATCACTTGAGCCTGGGAGTTCGAGACCAGCTGAGGTAATATGGTGAAACCCCATCTATACAAATAATATAAAAATTAGTTGGGTATGGTGGTGCGCAGCTCTGGTCCCAGATGCTCAGGAGGCTGAGGTGGGAGGATTGCTTGAACCTGCAAGGTTGAGGCTTCAATGAGCAGTGATAGGGCCACTATGCTCCAGCCTGGGTAACAGAGCCAGACTCTGACTCAAAAAAAAAAAAAAAAAAAAAAAAAAAGGAAATTTAATAAAATGGACTTCAACAAAATGAAAAACTTTTGCTCTTCAAAAGACACCGGTAAGAAAATGGAAAACTGCTACAACTGGAAGAAAATGTTTCAGTACATGGGTCTGGCAAACAACTTGTATTTCAGGAAGATTCTTAAAACAACCCAATAAATAATGGGCAAAAAGTTGATCATGCACTCCATAAAAATGCTATATGAATCGCCAATAAGATCATGGAAAGATGTTCAACATCACTAGCCATCAGAAAACTCAAATTAAAACTACAGTGAGATACTACCATATGCCTACTAGAATGACTAAAAAAAAAAAGGCTAAAAACAAACAATATTGGTGAGGATGTAGGGCAACTGGAACCCTCCAACATTGCTGGTGGGAATGTGAAATAGTGCAATCACTTTGGAAAACAGTGCAAATGTTTCTTTTAAAGTTCAACATGGCCTTATGATAAATCCCAGAAATCCCACTCCTAGGTATTACCATAGACAAAATGAATACATATATCCACACAGAGACTTCCAAATGAAAACTCAAGCAAGCTTTATTTATCATATCCAGAAACCAGAAAGAACGTCAATGTCTATCAATAGGTGAATGGATAAACCATTTTTCATAGGTTGGAAAACTACTCAGAACTAAAAATGAATAAATTACTGTTATGCATAGCCATTTGGATGAATTTCAAAAACTTTATGTTAGCCAAAGAAAGCAGAGACACCAAAGCATACAGGTTGAGAATGCTTTATCTGAAATGCTTGGGGCCAGAAGTATTTCCAATTTCAGAGAAATATTTGCATTTAAATAATGAGATATCTTGGGGATGAGACTCAAGTCTAAACACAAAATGTATTTATGTTTTATACACTTATGCACATAGCTTGAAGTTAATTTAATACAATGTTTTAAATAATATTGTGCATGAAATAATGTTTGTGTTAAGTACTTACATGTGGAATTCCCCACTTGGGGCATCATGTTGACGCTTAAAAATTTTTCAGATTTTGGAACATTTCTGATTAGGGATGCTCAACCTGTGCCTGCTGTATGATTCCATTTCTCTGAAGTTCTGGAAGAGGAAAAACTCACAGCGACACAAGTCAGATCAGTGGTTGCCTCTGGAGAACCAATTAAGAAACCGCCTTCAAGAATTTTAGGGGTGATGGGAATGTTTTGTACCATGATTAGAGTGGTGATCACATAGTCATACAGGAGACCGTGGAACAACATGAGTTCGAACTGCTTAACTGCTTGGGTGTGCTTATATGTGGATGTTTTTCAGTAAATTTATTGGAAAATGTTTTGGAAATTTGTGAAAATTTGAAAAAACTCATAGACAAATCACATAGCCTAGAAATATTGAAAACATTAAGGAAAAGTTGTGTCATGAATGCATAAAATATATGTAGATACTAGTCTATTTTACTATTTACTACCACAAAATGTACACAAATCTATTATAAAAAGTTAACATTTATCGAAACATATGCACATATTTATAGACCCTATGTGGCTATAAATACAGTATAGTGCATAAATGTACTATCTCTTATGATTTTCTTAATGACATTTTCTTTTCTCCAGATTACCTTATTATAGGAATACAGTATTTAAGATAGATAATATATAAAGTATGTGTTAATAAATGGTTTATGTTATCAGTAAAGCTTCTGGTCAACAGGAGGCTTGTAGTAGTTATTTCAGGGAAGTCAAAAGTTCTACCCAGATTTTTATTTTTATTTTTTACTCTGTCACCCAGGCTGGAGTACAGTGACACAATCTCAGCTCACTGCAACCTCCACCTCCTGGGTTGAAGAGATTCTCGTGTCTCAGTCTTCCTTGTAGCTGGGGCTACAAGTGTGCACCACTATGCCCAGCTAATTTTTGTGTTTTTAGTAGATACGAGGTTTCACCATGTTGGCCAGGCTGGTCTCAAACTCCTGGCTTCAAGAGATCCACCTGCCTCAGCCTCCCAAAGTGCTGGGATTATAGGTGTGTGCCACTACACCCAGCCTATACCCAAATTTTCTACTGAGTGAGGAATCAGTGACCCTAACTCCTGCATTGTTCAGGGGTCAACTGTATATAGTTGTCAAAATTCAACAAACCATAATAATAATAAGTACATTTTATTGTATGTAAGTTGTATCTGAAGAAAGCTGATTAATTTTTTTTAATTTTCCAAATTTGGCAAATATGTGTCTCTTCCAGTTGGCTGGCCCCTGTTCTTACATGTTCTTATCATTCCTTGAGCACTTCTTTACTTTCTGCCACAGAATATTCCTGGCTCATCTTGTACTTTCTCTGTCCCACCCTGGAATCATACATGTTTCTAAGCAAGCTTTGTTCCTTTTAGTGGACAATGATATTTAGAAACCAAGATGCGGGCACTAGGTTTACTCATTGTTATTGGGATGTCACAGCTCTCAGTTCTTCTCAGTGGACAGAGCTAGGAAATAGATGTATACACACTCACCCTTCCACAAACACGTGTTCACACCTAGTGTTCACACTGAGAGTTTTATTCTATCTATAGTGAAAAACGAGTTCACCCCAATGCCTCTGATTCCAATCCAATGTGTTTCATGCCAAACCTTACCATCATGACTTTTCTCTCAGGGTGACACAGGTGATATGTTAATTAGTCATTTCACGTCTATGTGCCATTGGCTGTTACATTCTCACCCTGAGTATGAATCAGAGTCTCTTCATCTTTTTCTCTCTTTTTTTTTTTTTTTTTTTTTTTTTGAGACAGAGTCTCACTCTGTTGCCAAGGCTGGAGTGGAGTGGCACAATCTCAGCTCACTGCAACCTTCGCTTCCTGGGTTCAAGTGATTTTCCTGTCTCAGCCTCCCTAGTAATCTCATTTCAAATGTCACTCCCTCAGAAAGACTTTTCTGGGGCTGGATGTAGTAGCCAATGCTTGTAATCTCAGCACTTTGGGAGGCTGAGCCAAGTGGATCACTTGAGGCTACGAGTTTGAGATCAGCCTGGTTGACATGGTTAAACCTTGTCTCTACTAAAAATACCAGAAATTAGCCAGGCATGGTGGTGCACGCCTGTAATCCCAGCTACTCGGGAGGCTGAGGCAGAAGAATCGCTTGAACCTGGGAGATGGAGGTTGCAGTGAGCTGAGATTGTGCCACTGTACTCTAGCCTGGGTGACAGAGTGAGACTTCATCTCAAAACAACAACAACAACAAAGAAAGGCTTTTCTCAATTACCCTGCTTAAAGTCAGCCTTCTTCAAGTTCTCACTTCTACAGCACTCTTTATTTCCTCAGAAATAATGATCATGTCACCCTATCTTGTTGATGTACCTCTCTGTAGAGCAGCACCCCTCCCTCCCTTGTGAGAACATAAACTCTCAAGACCTCTGTCAGTCTCACTCATTTCTGTATTCACAAGACCCAGAACCATGACTGGCATATAGCAGATCGCTGAACAGATATTTGTGAACTAGGTGAATGGGTGAGTGCCCCATCTCACATCACTGGTAGTGGCTTCCTACACAGGTAGGTTTGACCCTAAAGTCCACACAAGAGTCAGAACTGCATGCTGACTCTTGTCTATGGGAAGGACAGACAGGTAAATAAAGAAATAAATAATTAAATAAATATCAAACTGTGTTAGTCTGTTCTCATTTTTTTATTTTTATTTTTATTTTGGAGACAGGGTCTCTGGTCTGTCACTCAGGCTGGATTACAGTGGTGCTGTGTCGGCTCACTGCAGCCTCAACTCCCTGGGCTCAGGTGATTCTCCCACCTCAGCCTCCCGAGTAGCTGGGATTACACGCACCACCACATTTGGCTAATTTTTGTATATTCAGTAGAGATGGGGTTTCACCATGTTGGCCAGGCTGGTCTCAAACTGTTGGCCTCAAGTGATCTGCCTGCCTTGGCCTCCCAAAGTGCTGGGATTATATCAGTGAACCACTGTGCCCTAGCTGTTCTCACATTACTATAAAGAAATACTCCAGACTGGGCAATTTATGAAGAAAAGGGTTTTAATTGGCTCACAGTTCCATAGGCGTTACAGGAAGCATGGTGCTGGCATCTGCTTGGCTTCTGGGGAGGCCTCAGGAAACTTACAGTCATGGTGGAAAGAGAAGGGGGAGGAGCAGCGTTATATGACCAGAGCAGGAGGAAGGCGGGGGGTAGGTGACACACTTTTAAACAACCGGATCTCATGAGAACTCACTCAATATCACACAAACTGCACCAAGGAGATGGCGCCAAACCATTCCTGAGAAATCCACCCCCATGATCCAGTCAGCTCTCACCAGGCCCACCTCCAGCACTGGGAATTACAATTCAGCATGACATTTGGGTAGGGACACACACCCAAATCCTGTCACAAACAAACAAGCGATAAGAACACAGCAAACCCCATTTTCTCTCTCAAGGAAATAACCATTTACAATGTAAAGTAAGTGGCAAAGCTGACTAGCTGAAAGAGTTAAATGAAAAAAATAAGAAGGGTTAGGAGGTGCAGGGGAAGCCAGTTAAACTAGTTTTTTTTTTTTTTTTAAAGTGATTTTTTTCTCTCTCTCCTTTTTTTTTTTTTGCAAGAGGCCTAGGTTTGCAGTCTGCAGAGCTATCTACAGGGCTGGTCCGAGACCCCTGAAAAGAAACCGGAGAAGCCTGCTGACAAAAGACTGGAATTCTGGTATCTCTTTTGTTTTCACCCAAGTCTGTGGCCACTGACATTCCTCTTTTCCACCACGGGTGGATAATAAGCCCCCTTCTCAGGAATCGAAATGCTCTTATACATTTTAATGTGACCTTAGACAGCGCTGTTCAGAAATCACAGGCCCATCTGACTACACTTGAGGTTGAATTGAGCTAATGGTATTCACCTCATCTTTAGATGCAAAATTGGAAGATAAAAAGACCTTGATGTGAAAAGCAGGGGGGGATGTGAGGGAGGGGAGGTGGACGGGTTGCGGGGGGCAGGAGGGGGGAAGCAGATTAGAGATACTGCTTAAAAATCACGTGATTGTGCATTGATAACGAAATGTCTCCTCTTTCCCAAATCCCCCATGGGCTCGAGAGATGTCCTTATTCTTTTATTTTTAACGATAGAATCTTTTTATTCCTGAGCTGGGGAAATTTGAATGTTGCTGCATATGTGGCCAGGAGATACATTGACCTTTAGCAAATCTTATTTTAAAAAACCCAGATTGAACAGTTATTGCAATATTTCAGCCCTGTAAGATGAAAAGAGAGAGAGAGAGAGAGGAGAGGAGAGAGAGAGCGCCTTCTTCCTCCGTAATCAGATGTGGATTAAATTTATTAAAGATGCTGTGTCTCCTTTTAAATGACTGGCAACCCTCTTTCTGAATTATCAGGAGCTGGCTGGAGACATGGCACCCTTCTGATTTCATCTTAAGATGACAGAGAAAAGTCTAAAATGGGAGAAAACTTGGTTCCTCTCTGTTGCTCTTTGGCTTAAACTTGGTTTTCATCCATTAAGCCAAATGCATTCAGGGCCCCATGGTGAGGCCCAGAAGCGGGTGAGGGGAAATGGGAGGGTGGGGGCACAGGGTGTGGTCAGATCAGCTTCCCAGGAAAGAAGCTGGGAGGGAGCCCCTGCAGCTCACATAAAATGCGCAACCCCTAGAGACAGGCTCATTTCCAGCTTTGACGTGCCTGCTGTCTGTCAAGGGCCCAGTGAATGCTTCCCACCCCCAGGGCTCAGCCGCCTCCAGGACCCAGGGGCCCATTGGGCAATCCATCACGGAGCACACCTGGCCTGCCCAAAGGACACAGCAGGTAGGGAGGGGTGCGTGTGGAGGGCGGGCTGGGGAGCGGTTGGCAGGGAGAGTGGGACCCCAGGTTAACTCCAGAGAATGGATCCGAATTGCTCAGACAGGACCTCAGGCCTCTGGGCGTATCCATCCAGAGGGGTGTACATAATTTATCAAGGTAGAAAGGGTGACAGATTGGGATGGTCTGGCCTTTGGCTTTCAGCTTGTCTGTATTTATAGAATTGGATGCTTGGGCCTGCAGGCCATTGCGCTCTGACTTTAAAATTGGGCATGCTGACTCAGGTACAGGTGGTGCATGGAATTGTTTTTGTTTTCTGTTTTTTTAAATTTTTTAAGACATGGAGATCTTGTTTGCTCCCATTTATCGCAACCATGAAGCTGCTGTGGGGACATTTCTCCATCTTTCTGAGACTGAGGGTCCTCCGTACATCTTCGCAAAGGATGTCCCCATAAAAGGGAAATTCTGAATCGCATTTCTAGTTCCAATAGAATTGCCTTTGTGGGTTCTTGTTTGGGAAGAGAAAGTGGCAATCCAGGGTCACTGTGTCCCATGGCATAATTGTAGCAGAAGGTTGGCTACGGCAAGCCCACTTAAAGACTGAATTTATGAGAGTTCAAAATTCACCCACCCTACAGAGAAAACACTATAGTTCTAATTTTCCCTTAGCTTAGAATTCATTCATTCATAAGGAAATTCCAGACTAAAAGATGAGTTTGCCTAGAACATCTGGGTATAATATGTGTGTGGAATGAATGGAAAGGTGAATAAATGCCTGAGTGAATCACTGAGTGGAATCTACAGTGAAAGTGAAAGTCACACTAAGCACAGGCATTTCAGTGAGTGCTGAAAGTAAAAGATGAGTGAATGAGTGAGGGAGTAGATTTCAGACTGAGGAGAAAGTGAGCAGGACACAAAGAGTAGGTGCTTCTTAAAACACAGTTCAAGTGATTGAGGGGGTGCGGGACAAGCTCCACGGGCATGTGGTAAAGTCTCCAGGACAGGACAGTGAATAATGGATGGTTTTACTTTCCCCATAAGGAGCTCATGGGGCGGGTGGGTTACCCCTTCCTACTGCTAGAGGAATAACTTAGGTCGCTCCAGAGCTCCTGAAGTCAAGTTCAAAGCAAGCTGTGTCTGGCTCCCAACTGCAGGACTGCCCCCTCTGTTCTGGGATGTTCTGCTGTTCCTCCTTGGAGTCCTTGTCCTCAGGGCTTGGCCCTGGTGGCAGGATGGGCTGGCTTGCTGCCTGAACAGCACACCTGTAGAGCATGCCGCCCAGCTTGGTGCTGGGAATCTCCTAGAAAAAAATGAGAGTTCCCACCCCTGCCCTCCAGGGCCTGAAAGCTTTCTTTCCATTGCGTGCCTAGAGCCCAAGGGAGAGCCAGCTCCTCCTCACCTTGTCCTGACCAGTCCTCAAAAATGCAGTCTTGGAGGCGTGGAGGCTAGGGAGGGGCACTTGGTCAATCGCTTGGACCGGGGCCACTTTGCCTGAAGAATCCTTCAGCTTGGATACTTCTGCCAGGGGTTCTGAGACACGGGCCTGTGTCCACTTGACCCAGCCAGGCCACCTTGGTGGGGCGAGGATGGGGTGGGGTGCAGGGTGGGGCCGTGGTTAGCTGTGGCACTAGCGGGGACTGACTTCTCCCACCCCAGGAATGTGCTGACAGCTCTGAGTGTAGAATCCCCAACCTTTGTCAGCAAATCACAATCTAAAAATATGACAAAACTCCTACAAGAATGACAGATCATCCGTGCACATGGCTACTTACAAGTTGGACTTACTAGGATTGTGTTTGTGGAAGAAGAGGGCTGGCAGGGGCATTAGTGAATGTGCTTGGGTTTTTGGATCCACAATTCATCTTGAGGTGTGAGACTTTGGGCCATGGACTGTCCCTTCTGAGCCTTGGTTTCCCCTTTCTAATGCGAAGGCCTGTGCCATGGGGGAGTCGGCGGGGAGCGGGGGTGTGCTCGGAGGAATGGAGATACTCGTGTGAATGGCTGGGCATAGAGTAAAACTGTGATGGGCAACTAGTGGTTATTTTTGTTTGCAGAATTCTGTGTTTGATAATGAAAAAGAAGGAGAAGAAAGAGGAGGAGGAGGAAGAGGAGAAAATAATAGTATTTCTTGAGTTCTTACTATGCAGTAGTTTAAGCACTACGCCCATCGCAACACTGTAGTACACAACCCTAAAGTTACTATTAGGGTCCCCACTTGCCAGTTAGAGGAATGGGCTTAGTGAGGTGAGGTGATTTGCTTGAGGTCACACAGCTAGTAAGTGGCAGTGCCGAATTTCAAGGCCCACCACCCCCGCCAGAGTCTGTGTTCTCACCTACTGTGCAGTGGCCAAGTCTGGGTGGCTGGTGTCCACCATGGGAGAGAACATCTTGCCTCGGACCTTATCTTAGTGCCACTGGGCCCAGGGAACAGGGTCAGAGCTGAATCACACATGGTGTGCATCTTAGGTGCTCATGAAGTGCCAAGCATTTGTTTGACACAGAGGGTGGGAGTCAGGGCAGAGTGCCCGCAGCTGAGGGGCCCAGTGTATTCAAAGAGGGATTGAACTAGCAAATATAGGCACGCTGGGAAAACTGCCCCAAACAGTGGCCCCAGTGAAAAGAGGCTTCCTGTATTTTGCCACACATATTTAGAGTGGAAATTATCGTTGAAGATAAAGTGCTGAGCTGGAAGCACGGCCTGCCCTGACCGTGCTGCCTGTGGTGAGAAGTGTTGGTGGGAAGGGGTGAGGAGTGAGAGATGGGGGCCTCCAGTGAGATCAATGGACTGAACGGATTTGGGGACATGTGGTGAAACCCGACCAACCTTGGCCTTCAGTGAATGGGGAAGAAGGCTGGACCTAATAGCCCCATGCGATTTGAATGTCGTGGGAAAAGTTTGCACTTTGGAGGATGGACTGGACTCCTGCAGTGACCGTCCACTAGCTCTGATCTTGAACAAGTCACTTACCCTCTCAGAACCTTCTTCTTTTTGTTTGCAGAATGGGAAACATAATAAGCCTCCCCACGAAGATGTCAGGGCTAAGATATTAAGTAATGGGCGCCTAAAAAAGTACATTTTTGGCCAGGTGCAGTGGCTCACGCCTGTAATCCCAGCACTTTGGGAGGTGGAGGTGGATGGATCACTCGGTCACGAATTCAACAACAGCCTGGCCAACATGGTGAAACCCCATCTCTACTAAAAAATACAAAAATTAGCCAGGTGTGGTGGCAGGTGCCTGTAATCCCAGCTACTCAGGAGGCTGAGGCAGGAGAATCGCTTGAACCCGGGAGGCGGAGGTTGCAGTGAGCTGAGATAGCGCCACTGCACCCCAGCCTGGGTGACAGAGTGAGACTCTGTCTCAAAAAAAAAAAAGTGCATTTTTAAAAACATCAATTTTGATATATAATTCACATACCATACAGTTCATCCATTTAAAGTGTACAATTCAGTGGTTTTTATGTAGTCACAGATATGTACAGGCATGACCACAGTCAATTCTAGAACATTTTCATCACCTCTAAAAGATAGCCTTCAGCTCTCACCCCACCCCATCTCCCCATCCCCGCCAGGCCCCTGGCAATCACGAACCCACTTTCTGTGTTGATAGATTTCCCTATTCTGGACTTTCCCTATGGCTGGAATTTTGTGATCTGCAGCGGGCTTTTGGCTGGCTTCCTTCATTTAGCATTGTGTTTCTGAGGCCTAATCGTGTGGGAGCATGGATCAGTGCTTCATTCTTTTTTGTGACTGAATCCTATTCCATTGCATTTATCCATTTACAAATTGATGGACATTTGAGTTCTTCCCACTTTTTGGCTATTCACTCTGCAATGAACATTCATGTACCTGTTTTTGTGGACATATGCTTTTATTTCTCTTGGGTGTATACCTAAGAGCGGAATTGCTGGGTTAGATGTGAGCTTCATGTTAAATTGTTTGAGGAACTACAGACTGTTTATACAACGTGGTCACCCCATTTTACATTCCTACCGGCAGTGTGGGAGGGGGCTCTGCACAGTTCTCAGGTACATCTTTCTGCACCCGACAACATCTGACAAACTCAATCAGATACCCACAAAGCCCCCAGTTCTCACGCCACCGATCCCTGCCCCTTGCTTCAACCTTGCCTCCCCCTCTTCTCTGCAAGGGCCTTCTGTGTGGTCACCCTTCATTACTGTCATGTAACTCCCTGAAGGAGCCCTTCCCTCCCATTCTGGACCTTCCAAAGCCATCTGCCTACCTGGCCTGGTCCTTCACAGACACTCTTTTCCATGGCCAGTTCCCCGTCTCCACAGAGCCCTGCCTTCCTCCTCCAGTGGGCCTCTGACTTCCCACTTGCCATACCCCTCTCAGTACCTGCCCAGATGTTGCAGAAGCCAGTGCCAGTGGGTGTAGGGGAAAATGCCTGAATTTGGACTCAGACTAACCAGAGTTCTGATTCTGGTGCTGGGATTTATCAGCTATGGAAGATCAGACACATCTCAAGCTGAATAGCATCAATAGTCTGTCCGGCAGTAAACGTTTGTCAAATGCGTGAATAAATAGGTAAGAGCAACACTCAAAGGGTAACAAGAGGTGGAGCTTAGTTACTCCCCAGGGAGCTAAGGGAAACCTGATGGAAAGATTTTAGTCATGGGAGAGATGAGGACACTGTGACCTAGGGAGACAGAGTGGCCTCTGCAAGGTCATACTGTAACCGTGGTGGGATTAGAAGCGAGGCCTTTCTGTCTACCAAATCTGACCTTCCCAAAACCCTCCCTTAACCTTCTAGACAGGGACATAGCTCTCAGAAAGGGCCCAGGAGCTGACGCCGTTCACAGTGGACACAACTATCAGTTTGTTCCTTGAGAGAAAAGACACAGTTCCACTGACCTGCAAGTTAAACATACATCCCCAGAGCGCGGAGGTGTCTGGGACCTGCTCTGCTTCCCAGCCAAGCCCAGGATGGTGAAGAGCTGGTCTTTTCCACTCCCCGTTGGGCTGATCAATCAATAACCTTCCAAAA